TCTCTCTCTCTCTCTCTCTCTCTCTCTCTCTCTCTCTCTCTCTCTCTCTCTCTCTATTATCACATAACACTATTATCATATGCATAATAACATATCATACTCTATATTGTATAAAAATACTATATTGTGAAATGAGTAAATTAATAAAACTTACCAAACCGTAAAATATCGTCAAGCTCCTGTTTACTGAAATTAGCGCCTTTACCGCCCATGCCTGGACGCACAACCAGATGAGTGAGCATCATCTTACGCTTAGCTACCTGTGTCACCCTTTCTTCTACAGAGTTACGTGTAACAAATCTATAAATCATAACCTTGTTGGCTTGTCCTATTCTGTGAGCTCTGCTGAATGCTTGAATATCATTGTGTGGATTCCAATCGGAGTCATAAATAATTACAGTATCTGCCGTTGCTAAATTGATACCTAACCCGCCAGCACGGGTAGAAAGCAAGAAAACAAATTGCTGAGCGCCTGTAAAAAGTTTAAATGTTAAAAAGAAATAAACTTTCTATATATTATGTTACTAATGTATTGTGCATGTAATAAAATCAATAAATAAAAAACAAAAATCAGTTGATTTATATACACTTCGAAGCTTATCGTACTTATTTAAAAAAAATACATAATGGAAAATAATACTTGCCAGGAGCGTTGAATCTATCAATGGCTTCTTGACGTTGCGCACCCGTTATATTACCATCTATTCTTTCGTATTTGTATCCTTCACCTTCCAAATAATCTTCAAGAATATCCAACATCTTTGTCATTTGAGAAAATATAAGGACCCTATGTCCATCGTCTCGTAATTTCTTCAGCATCTTGCTCAGTAAAACCAATTTTCCGGCTGCTTTAATCAATGCCGATGTCTCGTAACTTCCGTTTGGTCCAGTCGGTGCTTCTTGCGATGCAGCGGGGAATAAATACGGGTGATTACAGCACTTTTTGAGATCCATCATTATATTTAACAATGATACTTGCTGACCACCACCCTTGGGATTCAAAGCTTCAAAGTTCCTTGTTAATATATATTTGTAATATTTCTTCTGCATTGGTGATAACTCAACTCGTACAATAAATTCGGATTTACTAGGCATGTTCTACAACAGAAAAGGAGCATATGATAATATCACCTACATGATACACAATTTAAAAAGTATGATTGCACCTAAATATATGTAATTGTTATTATTAAAATATTTATACCTTCAGTACATCAGCTTTCAATCTTCTCAACATATGAGGACCGAGCATTTCGTGTAACTTTTTAACCTGCTCTTCTTTAGAAATATCAGCAAATTCGTTTTGGAAAGCTGCTAAATCGTTGAATTTGTCACGACACAAGAAATTCAGTAAGTGGAACAGTTCCTCCAAATTATTTTGTAGTGGAGTTCCAGTCAGCAACAGTTTATACGCAATGTTGTAAGACGCTAATAATCTAAAGAACTTTGACTGATTTGACTTCAATCTGTGTGCTTCATCAACAACCAGAACGGCCCAATCAATTGAGCCTAGGCATGCAGAATCGATTGAAATAAGTTCGTAGCTCGTAAGTAAAACATTAAATTTTATCGACGATGAACGAATTTTGGAAGCGCGTCCACTACGCACAGCACCTTCTTCGAAAGACAACTCGTTTTCACGGATCACAATACGGCTATCTTTGTCACCTGCATAGAAAATTAGTTATTATCAATATTTTCTTTTTAAATATAGAATATGTAAGATAAAATAAAAGTTGCTGGTTTCTACTGACCCACATAGGTAACACAATAAAAGTCCGGCGCCCAAGTTTCAAATTCACGTTCCCAATTGATGATGGTCGATAGAGGGACAGAAACCAAAAATGGGCCTTTACAATGGCCTTCTTTGTACAAAGAATATAAGAATGTAATAGTCTGAATAGTTTTCCCTAGACCCATTTCGTCGGCCAATATCGTATCTATACCTTGACCCCATGAATATCTTAGCCAATTTAAGCCCTATAAATGATATGACGATAATTAACAAATATGAAAAACCGAATAAAATTGTAAGTCTATATTTGATATTTGACGTTTACTTCTAATTGATAAGGATGTAACTGCATTCCAGTTTGATCTAAATACTCCGGCTGCCTCTCATACTTCTTTTTGAGATCCGTCGTAGGTTTATCTGGCGGTGGCGTGTAACGTTTCGGCGTTCTTTCCTCATCATCAATTATCTCACGAGTCTTCGATTTCTTTCCTTTACCTGGATTGCATTCCGTTTCTTTTACAAGAGCACAAACATTTTGTGTGAATAACGATATTAAATCGAGATATTTCTACTTACCCTTTTTTCCTTTACGTGACGAACTACCGTCACAACAGTTTGCAGCTCTTAGATCCAAATAATACTCGATGGCTTGCTTCAAGCCTGGTATATCCTCATGTTCATCTTCCCATGTTGCTTGATCGTAACCGAGTTCTCTCCACTTTACAAGATACGTAGCTCTGCCATCTCTCTGTAATCGATGATTAATCACTCTATGAACGACTAACCATTCTGGACGTACGCCGTAACGATAGAATCGTTCTTCTAGATTGTACTCGTCTCTGTTGGTAGCACCATCCTGTTCTTTCAATCGTTTCACGCGAGAATCGCTTTCATCCAAAGGTTCTTCCAATTTTGGTGGTTCGTCCATGTCATATTTACGATAATAATTTCTAATAATGTAAAAATATGGTATATAACACACAATCGTACACTATAAAATATATGTAATATTATTATTCGAAAGTTACTTACCTATACATAAGTGGATGAAAAACATCAAGTTGCAATTCTGTTATCCAATCACAATGCCAATAAGACATATCCGCCCATTTCACAAAAAATTCACGCATCTTTCTTTGTTTAGGTGCAGCCTTGCTCGTAGAAGGTTCTTCCGACGGGGTTTCCGAACATTCCTTCCATCTCCACGTTAATATTTTTGCAACTAAATTAAGACATACAGATTAAGTTACCTAAATAAACTATACATACATACATACATACATACATACATACATACATACATACATACATACATACATACATACATATATACATACATACACACACACACACACACACACACACACACACACACACACATAAATTTTTTTTTACGAGTATTCGTACACAATGGAATATGTATGCGATAACAATTAAATCTTAAAGTGTAGCAGCCATATATATTTGATCAGCGAAAACCTACAGACTATAAAATAGGAGTGATCAAATGAGCATCGCCCTTACGGGCTGTTCAACTCTGCACTGCTCCATACTCTAACAGTTAAATATAATTATAATAAACCAAGGATTGAGAAATCAAAACAATTTTATTGAGTTTCAGGTTTAGTTGCAATAATAATGAACTTTAACTTTTAATTGCAAATAAACAAAACTCGACAGTCGGCGAGTCTCTTTCGAATAAACATCGTGAATTAAACTCATCAACATTACATCGGTTTCAGTCCTTGAGAAAAGTAATGTAAAATTATTCAATAAAACAAATAAAATTAAACTTACCTCTTCCTCTCAACGGTGGGCAAGAACATCGAGGACATTTCCAATCGCCATCAGGAATTTCTGACAGTGGAGGATTCAAACAATGCGTATGATATGCACTCGTACAACTGTCACAGCATAATAATTCTCCACCATCTTTGCATACTCTACAAAATTCCATGTGTTCGTCATCGTCTTCCGCTGCACCTGACAAAACACAGCTATAGTTATCATCCATACGATAATAAATCAAACGGACATGGGATTTGGTTCAGGAAGGAATATGAATCAAATTTTGGTGCGGGAAAGGTACGGGTACCTGTAATACCTTCTCCTTCACAATGAGGACAACTCCATTTTCCCTCGGGTGTTTCCTCCAATTCGGGTTCTAAGCATACTAAATGATACGCTCTGGGACACGTGTCGCACAAAATGATCTCTCCACCTTGTTGGCAGACCTCACAATAATCCTGATGGTCAGTCTATAGAGAGCAAGCGGAAAAAAGAAAACAATTATTCTAAAGTTAACTGGAATTTGTGAATTTGACTGAATAAAATAACTTGTGAAAAAGAATTTTTTAAAAATTTAGAAGATGAAAAAAATGTTTATATGAAATCAAAGCAAAATAATTGTTAAGCATACTTAAAACATATTGCATAAAGTATGCGCAGCTTCAAACATAAAAAAATTATCCACTCTACATATGAAATAAATTATAACATCAAATAAAGGAAAGCTGTAACAAGATTAGTTAACTTAAGGCAGAGTTAGACAACGTAGCGTATGCGTTCTCGAAGTTTTCATTGTATATATCTGCAATAATTATTATATCTACCTCCATAGACTATACATGGTGTGTTTTTATCTCTAGTTTTTTTTATATTTTATATATTCCCTATATAGATATCCCTATAAAATTTCATTTTGTTTTACATTATCTAATTTCATAAATTTTAGCATTTTACCATATGATATAAATACTATGTATATTAGGGAAGAAAGAGATAAAAATATAATCAAATATGCCTTGAATCGTTAACAAGTTTATGCCGTCAAACGTCATACCGGAGATGTTATATGCATGTTTTTGAAACATAAATTACAGAGAATCTTCTAGCTGCTGCGATAATATTAACAAGCATAATGATTAAACATGCGCTAACTAGCAAATTAATAAATAATGTCCGCAAGCTTTTTAATAGTATATGATAAAAATTACCATTATTATATGATATAATCCATAATTACAAGCATGTTTAAAACAACGAACGCATAAGCAAATGCTGTTTAACTCTACCTGGAGACCTTCCTCTCCGTCTGGAAATTTGGAAGTAGTTTTCGTCTTCTTCTTTTTCTTCGTCTTATTGCCAATTTTAGTTTTCGCCTTTCTGCGAACCGGTGGTTCAGCCAGCGGTTCAACGCCACTGTCCTCAACACCACCTTTATTATTTCCCTCGGCACCAGGAGTCTCTTCCGCATCGGCTAACATTTGTTCAAATTCCATATCGGAATCTCTATCAGAACCTGCTGCACTGCCTTCTGCTTCCTCATCCTAAACAATATTAGATGTATATCAGTTTAAACAAAAATTGATTATGATCAAAAATCAAAAAATGAAAATAGAACTATTATACACATACCGAGCTTCCTCGTTTACGTTTCCCAAGCTTAATCTTCAGTGTCGGTACTTTTGAAGCTTTCTTCCCCTTTTTTGCCCTCGAGCCTCGTGATTTTCTTTTCCGATCACTATCCTCGTCATCCTCTTCTTCATCTTCAGCCTCTTGCATAGCACCACTACGATTCGCTCTAGCATTTCTGCTATCATCGTCTACATTTGTGGACGAAACATCCGCATCTGGTTGTGTGTGTGGGTTCAATTCAGAAAAATCACGCCACTTAGCTGCCACTAACATCATAAGTTTCGACATTGGGACCTAATTATTCAAACAAACATTGTAATTCAATATATTATTATTCAAGAAAATATAAAAGACATATAAGAAATCATATGTACTTTCGGATTCTCTTTCGCTAAGAGTGGTCTGACGTGTTGTTGGAATAGCTTGTACGTTGTTAAATTTTGGAAATCGGCTTCAGAATATTCAATATGTACATCCGTTAAACCGAATGTATTGCACACTTCTTCAATTGTGGGCATGCCTGTTGTAGGTTCTTGGCTCTGAGTGGTTGGTGTATTATGACTCGATGATTTCCTTGATGACGATTTTCTACTCTTCCTATTGACTGCATAGTCACTATCTTCCCCAGCTGCATCGCCAGCTTCACCACCACCAAAGTCACTTTCCTAAGATAAAATTATTAGAATTAAAATACGAATGTTTTATTTCAAAAACAAAGGCAGTTTTAATCTTGCACATATAACATTTCAAATAATGTACAGTATTTTTCAAATGTTTTATAGAGTATATTTCATTAATCATGCTATTATGCTATCATTATACTATCTTTTTGTCACAAAATATAGCTATCTAAAAATTTTCAAACTGCACGCATACACATCTATACTTTAATTCGCAAAATAGCTAACTTATATTCATTACTTTCAGCATATCTCTTCAGATTATGTATTAAATATACTTACGTCTCCCGAATCAGATTTTTTCTTTTTCTTCTTTTTCTTTCCCTTTTTATCCTCACTACGTGCTTTTCGCTTCTTACCTTTTTTCTTTTTCCTTTCTTCTGGTTCATAGTCATCATCTTCTTCCTATAAAAAACATTTTTACAATTTAACCTTAAACTTTTAAACTTTTTCAGAGTACTAAAATACTCAGATCATCGCTGAAATGTCACAGTCACCATTCATATAAAATGAATATTTTTTACTGTAAATATTAGGTTATTGCATATTAGATTATGTATAAATGTTAATAATACACTGAATAAAAAGTAAATTAACTCACCAGTCTTTGAGATTCTTCGGCATCAGATGAGCCGTCTACTTGCTGACCAACATTGGACATTTGTCCTCCAGTTTCGTCTACATCATCCTCTCCTGAAAAAAAAAAAAAATGTTAATTTCAACTTTGCGATTATAAGCAATATACACGCTATGAGGAATAGATCGCGACGTAATGTATAAATCCTGAAGCATCAAAAGGAAAAAAACGAAGAAAAATAGTTTACACCCGCTCACATTACGCTGAACAATAAATCCATGATCAGTAAACCGAGAAAATTTCGCGCATACGCAGATTGCAATTTTGAACTAATCAACGTACCGCGAATGCTTTGTGCGTCCGCCATTTTCTTTAATAGGGCATACTACATTTTACATACAGCAGCGGCAGCCACACGTACACACACACATGCACGCGTGTTCACGCGCCTTTATTTTATATCGTATATATCGCACGCATACATTTACGCGCACACATATTCGATGTAATGTCAATATTGCAACTCAACGAAAAACGAAAGATTCGATCATAAAAACTGATTCGCCCTGTTGGCGGACTTCATCAGAGCCCCGATAGAGGTTAGACGCCGGCTGTGCTCACGTATGCACGTACACAGACGCAACTACGCAACGACGCGTGCATGTGAAACGCGGATCCATAACTTTTTTCGCACGGACGTAGTAACATGGCGTTGTAGATGCAATTACATTTGGTCGATTGGAAATCGCCTAAGGATGGAGAGGTAATTATTGTGGACGGGAATGAATTTCTCTGTTAATATTGGTCGCTACTGCGTACTCTCGTCAACATTAACATATTTCTTTCCCTTTTCAACAAACACACAGAATTAAAGCTAGTTATCTATACGTTATTGAATGTAAAATAAATACACGACAAGCGACCATATTAGGTTTACAAATCGACCATGGAAGCTTTCGATTTTTGTAATTATCCTAACTTCTCATGACTCATTTATATAGGTATAAAGGCAAGTATCGAATGAAATGATAAGAGCGAAACAAATTAGCCAGAGTGAACACGAATCTCTATTGGACTGCACTACCAGAATCTCCACGTTTGTTCGTGTCAATAAAAACGCGGCGATCATTTCAGACCTTTCCGTGGCAATAATATCGAGAGATACAACTAGCGCGTTATCCAACCGATTCCGTAATCATGTAATATTTTTTTACGAAAAAATGCTCATGAATAATAATGATAATAATTGATCAGTAACATTCACTCGGGCATTTCTTACAATGAATCGCGAGAAAGCGTTTCGATCACCTTCGCAAGCAACAGCAACGGCGATTGCAATCGCGTCGCGCAGTTAGAAAAAGAGAGGTGATTTTTTGATATTGCCCCGCGCGTATATGCAAATAAGCAATTTCTTACGCGGTAGGAAAAATTACCGGCATCTATGCGATCACGTTGCCGACACCATTATCATCATCGTCGTCGTTATCCCGTCGACTAAAACGACAAGATACGTAAAACGCGTATAATTCGCGAGGTTACCGCGCGCGCACGGGACTCTCTCTCTCTCTCTCTGTCTCTCTCTCTCTCTCTCTCTCTCTCTCTCTCTCTCTCTCTCTCTCTCTCTCTCTCTCTCTTTGACGCGAGTGAATGGATCTGACGAAGCCAAGCAGCGCCGTTGTGCCGCCCGTAGCTAACTTCTCGATGCGAACGCGCCAAGTCGCGGTGACGGCGAGGACGCCGTTCTCCGGGATGTAGCGAGGTGGCGGTGACAAGTCGATTGACAATGGCTGCCATTGATGCACGAAAAGCGCGCGTTCCGCGTGTACGCGCCGTAAATTCTGTAGCTCGCGCGATTCAGTCGAAGCCGCCTTTCGTATCCATATCTTTCCGTCTCTCTCTCTCTTTCTCTCTCCCCCCTTTCCTCCTTCCTCTGTCGCACCATCTCACTCCTTGCTCTCTCAACTCACCTACGTAGCTTTCGTCCACCTCCTCGTCCGACGCCATTCTCCAGCGAATACGCTACTCTAGCACTTACTACGATGAGACACAAGCACGATGACCACACGACGTCTACGGCGATCAGGTACGCCGCACCGCGCGGTGTTCGCGGTCCCGCTCGACAGTGAGCACGAGTGCGGCAACCACGGCGACGACGTTGATGGTGCTCGCTCACTCTTCTTCCCCGCCTGCCCCTCTCACTTCACTCTTGTTATTTCAGCGCAAGAAAATGCCACCGAAATGCAACATAACACATTTATCGCGCAACTCGACGCTCTCGACTCTGTATGCTCCTCAGTGTATCGTCACACAGTATACGCTCGTATGAGTGTGTGCCGTTACCGCATACGCTTCTGTTCCACTACTGACGCGCGATTCGTCGTTTCCCTTCGTTCCTCCCTCCTGCGCGTGTGAGCTCTCTGTTATCCCTCGCCCCGTACACCGGCCGCTCGAATCCTCTCTCTTTTCTTTATCCTCCTTACTCTCTTTTCTTTTCGTATTCCTTCTCTCTGTTCCTCTCTCTTTCTCTGTCTACACTCGTCGTACGCGAATTTGCACGCGACGTCTCTTCCTGACAAAGCAACCACGCTCTCTCTCTCTCCTTGCTCTCCTCGTCCTTTCTACTTTTCTACCTGTCCATTGTTGTATATAATGTTGGATCGTTTCATCTTTTACTGTGTCTCTTATATCTTCGAGTGCACATGCTTTACAACGTAATATTCCTGCTCTCTCTTTTTCTCTCTACATGTTTCGAGGAAGTTGTTCAATTACAATAAATGTTTACACATCAATCTTCTTTTTTTCATTTTCCCGTGCCGGTAAGGATCTATCCTATAAAATCGCAGATGTACACAAAAAGAACAACCAAGTTTCGTGCTCGATACATAAAACACAATAATGTGACATCATTTGTTTTAAGCTCTCATACGCAAATATATATAAATATAAGTACATAAACATTTCATCATTATATATTTCAAAAAATTTATTTATTAGATGCCTTATTAGTCAAAGTACTTATTTTATACTCATATCATTCTTTTATATTTATAATAAATTTTCAGTTGCATGCAATTTTGTTAGTATCCCTTCTTCCGCCAGACGAATAACACAATCGACCTAACCTAATCTAAGCCATCTATAGTCAGCTTCGAAAAGCAGTTATTTAAAATTTCTCACAATAGATGGCGAAATTGTCGACACATTACAATCGAACAATTCGTCAGCATTTGACGCACTCACGAGGATTTTTTTTTTACAGAAGACAGACAAATCTTTCGTAAAATGGTGAATAAGTTGGATTGTTAACTAAAGCATTGTTATTTGGTAATACAGTCTCGTAAATGAAACAATGTATCTACGATATTTAACAAATACATATAAATTCATAATTTCGTTTACGTAAGCCGGTGCTTTTTCCGTTAACATAGAGGTTATCTTTCTTCGCGAAGACTGCTCATAAAATTTATTCGTACGATTATAATCATTATATGATTATTAAAACGATTCACGATATCTCATATTCTATTTTTATGAGAACTTATATTGTCTGCGTCTGAATCGCTCTTAGGAAAGGCGAACTAGTTAACTCGAATATGTATATTTCTTCGATTAAGTTTATTGTTTCAGAAAGTAACTTTGTTAAAAAATATTTTAATATTAACGAAATAAACATTTTGTGAGCACTTAATTATAGGCAAATTTGTATAGATACAATTATGCTATTAATTGAAGACAAAAATTTATGTAGTTGATGTAACAGTTTCAGTACATTACAACATGTAGAATGTGTTTGAAAGGAGCTATGCGATCGGTACAGTCTATAGGAAGCTTACGATATGGCTCAAGAGAACGTTTGTTATCGCATATACTTCGGCCAACATCGATGGAGTTGCTCGGTGTACAAATGCAATCGGTAAATTTTTCTTTGCCCTAATAATGAACAGTACTGTTAGCAATATTATGTTTGTAGATTCGATTGTATTCAAACCCAGCAAGACGGCCGAGTTTCCTATCTCAGTTTGTGGAGAATATTAAACAAGAGATGCAGAAGAATAAGGAAATGAAACAATCTTTAGAAAAATTTAGAGAAGAAGCTCAGAAACTGGAACAGTCAGAGGCATTACGAATGGCACGGCAAAAGTTCAATACTGTCGAGTCAGAAGCTAGTAAAAGTTCAGAAATTATTAAGGAGAAACTGGATACAATTAAAGAAAAAGTATGTTCATTATATAATTATTTCATATAAGTAATGTGTGTAAAAAATTGCATGTATAAGTATATATGAATTTACATTCAAAAGGTGCAAGAAGTTATCGAGGATGCAAGTAAAACTGAATTGGGTAAACGTGCCGGACAGCTGGGTGAAGAGATCACCAAATCAGCCAGAGATGCGGCAGAAGCAATCTCCGAGAAAAGCCAAGCACTTGGTAAGACCGGTGCATTTCAAACGATATCAGACACTGCGGAGGCTGTACGGAATGAACTTGACGAACACGGAATTCTAGGTAGATAAATTTGGCTGACTAGACAAAAATAGAAAGCAGTTTCAATTTCATTATTGCTTGATGCAGGCCAAGTTTATGTTCCACCTAAAAAGCTACGAAAAAGGAAGGAAGTAACGATAGAGCCTAAAGATATTATGCCTGATCAGAAAACAACAGGTATGGAAATACATAAAGACTTTGTGTTTTCCAATGCTTGGCAAAAATTTAAGGTATTTACTGTACACTACTCTCACCATCTTTTTATGAATATCATTGTTATAATATATGTAATATATATCTTTTTATTTGATTCTGTATTTTAGTATTTTACCAAGTACGATTATTTAATTTCATTAAATTTTATGTTGAAGGATAACAACCCATACGTGAATAAGGTAATGGACTGGAAGATAAAGTATGATGAGTCAGATAATGCCGTACTGCGCGCTTCCAGATTACTTACAGACAAAGTTACGGATATCATAGGCGGATTATTTCAAAAGACCGAACTGTCAGAGACTCTGACAGAGATCTGTAAATTGGATCCTAATTTCAGCAGAATACAATTTTTGAAAGATTGCGAGACTGACTTTATCCCAAATATTCTCGAGGCGATGGTCAGGGGAGATCTAGAGATTTTGAAGGATTGGTGTCATGAAGCGCCTTATAATGTAATCGCACAACCACTTAAAGAAGTACAAAAACTAGGATACCATTTGGATAGCAAAATTTTAGGTATTAAAGCTAGATTTCTTAAGTTAATAATTTTTTTCTTTTTCGAAAATACTCAAATTTTTTCTTTCTTTAACAAGATACTACCATTCTGCATCAAGCTGCGTTATCAGATCAATAAACGAAAAATATTCTCGTTATAGATATTGACCATGTGGATTTAATGATGGGCAAGATGATGGAGCAAGGTCCAGTTTTGATCATCAGTTTCCAATGTCAGCAAATCATGTGCGTGAGAAATTCGAAGAACGAAGTAGTTGAAGGAAATCCACAAAAAGTAATGCGTGTTAATTATGTTTGGGTATTGTGTCGCGATCGAACGGAACTTAATCCCAAAGCTGCGTGGCGTTTACTCGATCTCAGTGCTACTAGTTCGGAGCAGTTGGTATAGTGATATAAAAGTGCAACATAAGCTGTTCAAAAATTCAGATGACCAAGTGATCACATAGTGGAATCTTCATACACTTATTGCTAAATCATTCGCGCATTATTATAAAATAAGTAATGATACATGGAATTCTTTAATGAATTTTGATCATCGATCTAGTGTACATATAGTGCACAGCACATTTCCTGTAAAAATTGGAATGTTTATTTATATTCACAAGATTCTTAACAAGTAGCATATATAAATTTCAGTTATATGATGTAAGTATATATGCATGTGTGCTAAGTATTGCAAAAAGTTCTCTTATAAAATAATATATTTGTAAATATATAGTTGAAAACACACACAGAAAGGTTACATAGACACTTCTCTTCAATGAGTTTAGAATAGATAAATTATGAGAATCATAAGATTTTTATTTATTGGGAACTTATTAAAATGAAGAATGTTGTCAACCTTTTTACCATTGATTTTATATTGAAATCATTGGGATTAAAATAATGTCTGTTCATATGTGCATATACGGAAAAAAGATCGAATAATAAGTAATCACGGAATTGTTTATGTTATTATATTATGTACTTTATATCAAAATTTTCATACATGCAAACATATACATACATATAAACGCTTACACATACACGCACGTACGCACGTCTTCGAATTTAGAACGTTAAATATAAAAATTTTAATTTCATATAAATTTATAAAATGCTATTAATTTCCATACGTTGTTCACGAATGAATCTTGCAGCCTACTTCAAGATCATATTATGTATTTATATCAAAGTTCGTCGCATACACTATTAACAAATTATTTAATCTCTCAAATTGTTTTATTTCTTTCAATAGTAATTTAAATGACGTTAAAGTAAAAGATTCCTAATCAATGTATAATATATCTATGATAGATTAAAAGAATATTCCAATGACATTAACACACTCAACAGTTGTTTCTTGAATATTTTCTTTGTCTATTTTATACTTCCATATACAATATGAAAACATTTAATGTTTAAAATTAAAAAAATTGCGATAAATTGATTCGACATTTTTATTACGCAAAGAATGAATTTAATTCGTTCCATGAAACAGTAATTAAAATTTCAATTATGATTTGTCACCCCATATATAAATATGTACATACATATGAACCAATATAACTTTTACCGATAGTAATGTATAGTCATGAAATTGTTAAGAGAACTGTTAATTATTTTTTAAGGTTATACGATTTTAACTCGGATCAATTCGAGGAAAAAATAAAATGACATTTCATGGACAATGTATGATCATGTTATCTTCTTTCACTTAGAACAAGAAACCATAGGAGATTTATCAATGTGATATGATATTAATGTGATGCGATGCATATTCATTTACCGAAATTAGAGACATCGCGATAAACTTTTATTTATATTCCTTATAATATTATAGCGTTATAATTCTTACATAAATATATGTTCCATTATAAAATGTTCGCAAAGAAAACGTTAACAAATTAATGTTGCATTTTTTCTTAGCATACGTAAATGGAGCATTCTGATATTCTTGAAAATCAAATAGATATATAAATAAGCGACCAAAAGAATGAAAAAAGAAAGAACGTTTCAATCAATTTTGATATATTGCGTTATTTACGATTGCTTTGATCTGTATTTGTTACTTAACATGGGACTCTGTGGTTCCGTCAACGGTTTTGTTGCCTTGGCGATAATCAACGGCTTGTATGTCGGCATAGGTCTGGCCTTTACTTCCGCCAGCTTGCGCTGTTCAACTCTCATCTGCTTCTCGTTCTCATCCTGCCTTTTTTTATCTTCCTGTCGTTTGACCTCCTCCTCCATTTCCTTGCGTTTTATCTTCTCGTCAAATTCTCGTCGTTCTTTCGCCCTTTTGTCAGTGTTCAATTCTAGCGATAAAGTCGGTTTTGTTATGTTTTCTTCTCGTCCTTTGTCCTTCGTGTTTTGCTTATCAACAACGGTATATGTGGCTTTTTTTATCTTTCGCATACACTTGTTTTCCTGTGTCTTGTCAATAGAGATGACATTGGGTTCTTCATTCTCCTGGTCGTCCACCGTATTCTCCTTTTCTCCCTTCATCAATAAACGCTCTTTAGAGAAGCCACGCACCGTTACGGGTTTGAAAACCGGTGCTGGATTCGCGCGAAATACACGCATCCGCTTGTCTTCCTCGCACATTTGCCTAGTCAGTTTCTCTTTTTTTTTCAACAAATTCTTATCACGTTCCTCGAAACTGAACGGACATTGCTGCGCTGCTGTTTTCTTCTGCTGTTTCACAACCGTTGGCGACGTGGTTACCAGTGGCTTAGTGAAGTTCGGTACAGGTCTAGCGTGAAATTCCATTTTCGCTTTGCTAGCTTCCTGCAGGCTCTTCAATCGCTGTTCCTTCTTTATTTGCAGATCTTTGTTGCGCGCCTCGAAACTGAACGGAACAATGCGCGTCACGTTTCTCGCAGTGCTATTGTCTTTGGGCACACCAAAGTACGGTATCTCCACGCGTTCCACGATGATCCCGGTGGGATCTGTTACCAATACCTTCGTAACTGTATTTTTCGTTGACACTTTATCATGATGCGATGTTCCAGGATTCTTGAGCCGAACCGAGGTGCTAGTGAGAATCTTCTCAGATTGCGTCGCGGAAGCAGAGGAAGACAACTGTTTCTCCGCAGTGATCGCCGATGTAGTCAATTTCTTCACGATGGTCTTTGGCATAGAACGTATAGGACCGCGTAAAACATTGCGTGGTATAGGATTCGCTTTGATGTAATACTTCTTCATCTCCTCCATTTCCTGTTTCTCGCGCTCTTCCTGGCTCAGTATGGTGACTGCACGCGTCCTATTCTTTGACATAAGCGCTGGCGAAATCGGTATCGTTGTCTTCAGACGATGATGTTGCATCGACGGTTTCGACGACGAATTTCGTAGTGCTGCCACATGGTCATTGTTGCACCTAGTACGGAAGCGCTTGGGTGTATCATTTTGAAAACGCGACACAGCTTCCGCCAGACTGACGAAACGATTAGATCCTCGACGCTTGTTTAGGCTTCGTCTGCCATTCTGCCAAGTGAGGACAGAAGCACGCGGTTTATGGGTTTGCTGCTGAGTACTCTTCTCGATCATAGTGTCCACAACATCATTCTGTTCTTTTTTGTTATCGTCATCTATTGGTTCTTCCGATTTATCAAGTAGCAACACCACTTCAATTTCTTCCTCATTCTGCTCTTCATGTTTCTCAGTATGTTCTTCCTTAACTTCTTTTTCATCTTCATGGTTATTTACTTGAACATCCGTTTTTTCGGAAAGATCCTCTTTTACACCAACATGATCTTGTTTGAGTATAGAACTGGTTGATGTTTTTGTTTTATATACAATTACATTGTTACTGTTTTCCGGTGTATAGGCATCTTTATCAGGTCTCATAGATTTACATGCAGTGCTAAATTGGACATGCTTGTTCGGCACGTTACGATAGCCAACAGATCTAGATGATTTTGTAATGGACATTACTGGCGTTTTGAAAATATTAGACTCCTGGGTGGTTTTATTTAATACACTTCGAGCTTTGAGCGGCTTTTTACAGAGTTCTAATTTTTTCATTGCATCAGTGAGTACCTGATCATAAGTTATTTGCTCTGTTATCGTTGTCCCTTTGCGATATTTTGGGGAGATAACTTTGACAGGAGTACTCTTTATGAGATCCTGATCTAGTTGTGCCTCTTTGTTTACACATAGATTAGTTAGTATATTCTCAGCATTCTCTGTAGACAAGTCACAGAGTTCCACTATACGTCCATGTATCGCATGTTCTTTCTCAAAGTAATCTTTCATCGGTATCTGTGGGCTAATGCTCTCAGTAAAATCTACCCATTGTGATGCAACAAAAGAATCCATCCTGTCAATTGAAGTGAATACAGTGCAAAAGTACTAATGATATATTTTTAAACGATACTGATATTAAAGTATAAAATTAAAAGATTACTTTGGTGTGTTAAAATATATAAAATACCAGCCAAATAGCAGCAACTAATGACAATCTGAAATATAAAAATACAAAATCATGAGTTTCTGTGTATCTTATATATTTGTTTAAAATATTATGTGTATGTGTGTGTATACACACAATCCTCATAAGTTTAAAACAAAACCTCATATATGTTATTCTTGATTTTGCAAGATTAATAAAAACAATTTTTTTCATTGTTGTGTACATGAGAACAGTAATCGATAGAGAATACAATTTAGTAACAGTAAATACTAACAAATATGGCCTCAAATTCTGTCAATACTCATAAAAGTGCCTACAACAAATTTTCAGTATAAATTTGATTCAAGATTCCGGAAAGATTTATCGTGACGGAATTCCGTAATATTGGCACATAAAAATTGCAGATTTAAGCTGCAAAGAGTACAAAAATGTAATGAGAATGCCTTTTCTTCGCTGAGTATTTTCGTTACTTACATTTTGCCAAAAGGAGCAATTTAAATACAAATGTTGTAGTATCTCCGAAATTTCACTTATTGATCCATATATTTTTCATTTATACACCAATATATATTAATCAGAACTGTTGCAAACGCGAGGCACAAGCGTCTAACAAGCGACCAATGTATGCTGTGTCAACGACGACATCGAGTATACGTTGGATTCAAGTTTGAATTTTTTGAAAGTTTCATCCTATTGGCTAATATCTGAATCGTCATGTCGTGCTCATTCGAGAAACACCTAGTAATGAAAATCTCTACATGCAGGGCTGCGGGAGTGTCCTGATTGACCACGGTACGATTGGACACAACCAACCGATGCAAAGAATTATCTAGTAAATTACCAAGTCCAATCAACCATGGCTGCGTTCCAAAACTCTACTCGACGGGTAGAGTAGCATTTAATTGACCAATAAAAACAAAGATAACTAGGATTTCTTCATTATGATTAGTCAATTAAGGGTGCTTTCCAATTGCAATATCTCTAGATACTTTCATGCACCAGCGACATAAGTTGCATTCCAATGTCGTAATCGTCGACATAAAGCCTATTCTACAATTGCGTGAACGTGTTGTAAGTAGTTGTAAGTGATTACGACAACCAATCAGAGTAAAGTAATCAGTGAATAAAACATTCGGATTGGTTGACTCTTACGTTCACGACTCGCTTACGCAATTGTAGAATGGGCTTAACACTACACATACGTACTCAGCTCGAGGGCTAAGGGTGCGTTCAGATGGAGAAAGAAATAGCGTAACGGAACAGTTACGAAAAAGAGATATAGTGGAAGTCAGCCAATCAGAGTAATTCCGTTTTTATTCCGTTCTGTTGTTTGATAGGTAGATTTCACATGGCACAGAATTGTTACGGAACGGAACAAAAATGGAAAACATTCTAACCTATCAACATCGAGGATTGTAAAATTTTCGATGTTGATAGGTTAGAATGGGCGCATTCAGTAGAAAAAGCGCTCAGTGAGCAATCAACGATTATTGGTTCTTGCTATTAGATCCCTAAATCTAGACCAATTACATTGACAAATTACTCAACTGTTGTGCAACTGTTGAGTCTGCTGAATGCAGCCAATGTTTTCCGTTTTTGTTCCGTTCCGTAACAGTTCTATGCCATGTGAAACCTACCATCAAACAACAGAGGGTCGATTGTGTATCTCAAAACGGAGTGAAAATGACAAAAATGAGCAAATTTACTAGAATATTTATAACTTCATTGGTCAATGCCTAGTGAATTTGCTTACTTTTATAATTTTCACTTCGTTTCGAGATACACAATCAACCCCCAAAACGGAATAAAAACGGAATTATTCTGATTGGCTGACTCCCACTATATCTCTTTTCCGTAACTGTTCCGTTAGGCTGATATTTCACGTGTCGTACGACAAGCTTTTTGGATACGTTCATTGATTGACGAATAGAGAACTTAGAAATATTCTATTCGCCAACCAATAAACGTATCCGAAAAGCTTGTCGTACGACACGTAAAATAGCACCATTACGCTATTACTTTCTCCATCTGAACGCACCCTAAGTGTGTTGTTATAAAGAACAAATCTCTCAATTGCCTGTAGCCAAATATTGAAGGAAGGAAGGAAGGAAATCTCTCAATTATCTAAATAAAATTGTATATAGAAAAGAAATGATATTCAATATTTTTAAGACACTAAACACCTATTATTCATCAAATTATTAGACAATTTATTAGACAGCCGCAATAAACCAATTTGTCAAATAAACTTGTCCAATTCAATACTACAACAATAACATTTATTTTATTCAATTAATTTGTTTAAAATAGTCCAATCTTATAGCAGACAAAATTTCAATACTATACAAACTCGGAAATCTTTGTTTATGTCTAAAATAATTTACAATAAAAACATGAATTGAAGTGCGATTTAATTAATGATTAATTTAATGATTAATGACTTAATATCAGTATGTTTAAATAGTAGTATGTGGGTAATGTTTAATATTTATTTCTGCTTATTAAATCGTATTACATATAAAAATGTCTACTGATTTATGTACATATGAATGATGCTCCATTCTTTGAGGAGAGAAACACAAGTAGAAAAACAAATTTTGTGAAAATTTTTCTTTCAATTTTAATATATTAAGAAGTACTATAAAATCCTATAATCAACACATATAAATGTAAATCGTCTACATTATTCTGTAGCATTATGTTGTTCACTAATCACAACAATGAAAGGCTGTCAATACCAGACTGTAGGTCTTCCAATTTTTTAATTTGTAGTTTCTTCATAGTAGCAAACGTTTGAAAAATAATACAGGTTTCTTTTGAAGTAAATATCGAATCAAAAACAAAAAATGACAAGTACATAATTGTATACATAAGATACTGTGTCTATTGCGCATACCCACAAGTTATTCTGACTTGGGCTTTGTGTCTTCCTTATAATGTAAGAACACGAGTGAGAACAGGAAAACACCACCCATCATGGAGAACGCGCTTATGTAGTACGGGAATGCACTTGGTATGAAGCGCTCATATTGCGTATGTTGCAGTGGACGCACAGACACCTGCGTGGTGCTGTATAAATGTGTCAGTCCGACGCGCGAATAGTCCACTTTGAACTGGTATACACCGTAGACATCAGGTATCTTGAACCTGCCCTCATAGCTACCGTTTCCCACTGGCTTCATGGTCATACGCACGAATGGATCGATGCGCACAAATTCCAACTGCAGATCGTTCGTTTCGTACGGCACCCACTTGCCGCCCGACGACAGTCGCTCCACGTTGATAGAGTATACTACATCATCCATAATGGTATACGCGGCAGGTGGCTGCGATTCGCCGACTCTATGGTGGTGAACAGATGACACACGTATGACGCCGTTTTCCTTAAATACCCACTGGGCCATAGCCTTAGCCATTGCTTGGTTGCCGGACTTCTCATATTTCTGGCCACCTGCAAGTGTAAAATCAAATTCAAGCAGATATTTCTCAATAAACCTGATGTAAATTTCTCTTTAACGTGACAACTTGGTGGTCAGTTTAAACATACTAGAATATTGAATATATTGAAGATGCAGGTTTATTGAATCGACACATTTATTCTTTATGTAATTTCAAGTAATTTTTAAACATATCAAGATAAGTAATAACAATAAACATTATTAATAAAAAAATGCTAGTAATTTTTTTCTAAAGAAGAAAATTTCTTTCTAAAGAAGAAAATCAATTGTTTCACTATTGTATTTAATAATATATTTGTTATCAAATACAAAAAATTCAAATAAAAAATACATAATAAAAAAGGATCAACTATATTGTCTCATCATTTTGTTTACCTTGTCCCCTTTGGACCGGGCTAGTAAATGCTTCATCACTGAAGAAGAACAGTGAGCCTGAGAATAGGACTCTTGCATTATTCCTAGCTTGTAGAGCAGCTATTAGCAAAGTATTCTTGCCAACACCATGTGGATAATCTTTGACTGGATGGTCTGGATTATATGTATATGCTGAGGTTGATGCCGATAATAGACGCAAAATCAAAGGATTATCAATATCTGCGATTAAACCAGTTCCTTGATAAAGTAATGGAGGAATATTTTTACTTCCAACAATAACTGAAGCATCTATCAAATTTGCTGATTCAGCTACTATAGTAGTGTGCTGACCACTGTCAGAAATATCGTAATTCATATGATCAATTACAGCAGAACCCTCTTCATCTATTTCCAAGCCGCATTCTGAGGCTAATTCGTGCAAGGCATCACCAGATTGTGAAGAGCCAGCAATCAAAACATTTCCACCACCATCTATGAAATCTGTTATTGTCTCCACATTCAGAGCACCACCAAATTCTTCTACAGTAGGTGCAAATATTATTAAATGCTCATATAAGAATTCACCGTATTTGGAAAGTTGTAGATATGCATCATCAGCTGATTTGAAAGTTAACACATAACCACTATCTGCAAAGTAATTTTTAAATATATTAGATATTTATAATATGTTATAGTCTTCTGTTATTTTCAAAACTGTGCTAAAGTCTTTTACTATATGTATTTAATTTTTAGAGAAACTTAAATATATTAATATATATTTAGTTAACAATTAGCAAAATAAGAACAATATAATTATAATTAAATAACATTAAAAATTTTCTATCATAAAAATTTTGATATTTAATAAATCTAATTATTAAAAAAGAAATTTATAGTTATTTCAAACTTATAACATAAAACACAGTGCATAGAGATTTATTGAACATAAGTATCAATAATATACGTTCTATACTAACGTTATTTTTTCAATAAATGTGTTCATTGAACTTAAACAGTATACTGAGAAATAAAAACTTAAATTAAATCTCAATTGTAGTTCTCGATATCTGAAATTACAACTAATATTTTCAATACATATTAATATATCTTGTAGCATATGTTATCAGTCTTTTTCAGCAAAATTAGTTACGTTGAAAAAAAATGATAACAGTGCCGGTAATATGTCGATGATGATTAAAGAAATGGTAAGATAATAATTTTTGAAGATACCCTGTAATATCTTGAAGAATATTGAGTGTGTCTCTTTAATCGCAAGATTGTCGAGTAAAACGAGAGTTGGACCGCCGGCATTTACGCTGACGAACGCGAAAAGCAAACAAAATAACCTATTTACAAGCTTCATCGTGCACCACTTATGACAGAATCTTGCCACGAGTAGAGACACGTCGTCACACACCAAAGGAGCGCCACAGAAGCGAATCTGAAATAAATCAGCCTGATATAGGCTGCGTTCGGAAACGTTACTCGAGAGTACTCGGAGTACTCTCCCTCTCTTTTTATCTCACTCTTGTATTTCGCTCACTCCAACTATCGTCTAGTAGGTGCACACAATAGGTTTGTCGAGTTGCTTATACTTTTCATACTTTTACACCTAATGCCCGTTGCACACTAGTGCACTCCAAACAACACAAATTTTATAAAATACATTCTGAATACATTTTCAGGGCGGAGGGACATCATCAGAATATTCTTAGGATGTCCTTTGAAAGTGTAAATTGTCTGAAAATAGCTAATATCCAATAAGTTTATTCACATTAATTGAATTTTTTACACTTTCTCACTTAGTGCATATTAAAGCCAGCGGCAGACGGTGCTTGTTTTCATGCTAGATTGCTTGCTGATTGGTGCATTTCTGAAGATGGATGGAAATACACCAATTAAAACAGAATATTTCCACCAAGCAAGCAATCCAGCACGAAAACAAGCACCGTGTGCCACTGGCTTAATGGCTCCTGCACATAGGACACGATAATGCTTGCCGCGCGGCGGAAGTTCGCGCGACAGCCAATCAATATGTTGTTTTTCCGTAAGAGCTAGAAGGTTATTACGGAAAGCAGCATATTGATTGGCTGTCGCGCGAACTTCCGTCGCGCGGCAAGCATTACCGCATTCTGTGTGCCGGAGCCATAATTCTTTAGAGGTTTTAAAAATGGCGTCGTGTTTTCCGTTCGTGTTACGAGTGTAAATGCAATTCTGATACACTTTTCACTCTTGCTTGGGATCAAGTGTAAAAAGTGTATCAGAATTGCATTTACACCAATTATAATATCAGCTTAATATACCGTTGTTTATATATATCATTGATATTAAGATTATCTAATAGAAAGTTACTATTTAATACGCGTATCAAGTGCACGATATAAACCAGGCCAGTATGCGAATGAGATGCGCATGCGAAAATCTATAATATACGTTACGTGAATTATAGAATTTTCACGTGCGCATCTCACTTGACACTGGCTTGGTTTACACCGCACTTGATACGCGTATTAAATAGTAACTTTCTATTAGATAATCTTAATATCGACGATGTATATAAATAACGGTATATTAAGCTGGTATAATACTGATCAGACTTATTGTATTGATTAAATGCGTCATCGTTGATATGCATTGTCAATATTAAGATTATTTAATAGAAAGTTACTATATAGTACGTGTATCAAGTGCATGATATAAACCAAACCATTGAGGCTGAAGTCCCATGGCACGTATTTTCGCGTAAGCGTAACCGCGTAACCAATCACATCTTTCTATTCTTTTAGAAGTTCCAACAGAAATACTAAACGTCGAAATCTATTGGTTACGCGATACACGGAAAATACATACCATGGGACTCCTGCCTGAGTGCGGTCCAACAACCGCTACAAATGCTGCGCAGCGTTTCTCCCTCTTGTTCTATTCCTCGGATTCGAATAAAGAAAGAGAAAGAAGTAAAACGCTATAAAGTATTTGCAGCGTCCGCTGGACCGTACCCACTGTTGAGAATTGAGCTTCACGCTTCTCTCTGCCGGAACACAGCCAGTACTGTCAATACTGTCAGCACTTTTTAAAAGACAATCTTGGTAGCATTGGATATGAAGGACGAAGGTTGATAAAAAAAAAAGTTACACGTAAAACAGAAAATGAAGACGGAAATTAGTGATCCGTGGCGTAGAGTAGATACGCGAACAGTAGTGACTGACGACGAGCCAAACGATCGTTTCGAGGACTCTTTTCTGGATAAAAATTTCGATCATAATCGGTTATCTGATTCAGAACAGTATTTGCAAAAACTATGTAAGATATAAATCTCATATTTTAGATATAGGAAAATTATATATATATAAAATTGTATTAATTCTCTAATATTTCCCAATAATTAAGGTTACATAAGTTTATGACATATTAAATATTACAAAAGAACTTTAATAAAAGTTTAGGTTATCGCCCTGTGGACACGAACAGAATAATCAATTATTAGTAATATTTATTAGTTAATAGTTTATTAGTAGTACAAAAGTGTTATTTAACTTGAAATATATTTTTTTCTTTATTTTCCCTATATTAATTTACTATAAAATGCCCAATCTGCAGAAAGAATTTTAGAAAATCATTAATATTATATCAGATTTACTTGTATATGCATTTTGTTGAACTTATTAATATTTTTAAATCAATCTTACGACCTCTTTGACATGAACAAAAAATAACTCACTGAGATTTGTGTAGTTGATAGAGTAAGAAATGAATTACAATAAGTACAATATGAGTAAACTACTACAATAGAATTATAATAAATATTTCATGGTATTCAAATTATTTGGGATAAATAGATTCCAGATTGAAAGTTCTTCAGGGTGGAACTACAAAGAAGGATCTTGTAACATCACTATCAATAGTAAAAGAAGATTGTATTGCACGTTTAATCATCTCTGGAAACAATCCTCAGTCAGAAGAAGAAATTGAATTAGCATCGAATCCTCTGATACGGCACATAGCTCCTCACTTACAGGTGAACAAATGATATAATGGTGTTGCTATCATATTATATACATATATAGTGCTGAGAATTAATAATGAACTTGTCACTATAATTTTGTATATAGGCCTTAACAGCTAGCGAATTGGTTCATCTTTTAAAAGCAGATGTACTTCAAGTAACCACAGAGGCTGAACAAGAACAAGATATTACAGAAGGAACACAAATAAATTAACTATCAATAGTGTACAAGCCAGAAAATAATAATTAGTCACTATAAATCTTTTTGCAGTATAAAACACTATGTCAGTTGAAGCATTGTCTGGTAAAGTTTTCTTGCTAGTAACTGGTGCTAGTCGTGGCATTGGTCGGCAAATTGCAATAACATTTGGTTCTTTATTGCAAGAAGGTTCTCATATTTTGTTATTAGCAAGAAATTTAGATGCTTTGCAAGAAGTTGCCAAGAATATACCTTCTAAGGTTACAGTTGATACTGTTAGCATAAACTTGGGTAAATCTACAAAGGTTGAATTGGAAGGTAAATATAAATTTTACTTTTCAGTAAGGTTATGTAATACACTTTAAAGAATTATTATACTAGTATACATTTTTCATTTCCATTCTGTTCTAGAAACTATATCACACTCTTTGAAGGAAACTACTCCAGATATATTTGACCGAGTAGTTTTAGTACATAATGTAGGCACATTTGGTGCCTCTAAACTTGTAAATGAATTAACGGACTTAAATATTTGGAAGGAACACTATGATCTAAATTTTTTCATTCCCGTCGTTCTAAACGCTGTAGTCATGAACATGTTTAATAGTACAAACATTAAGAAAGTGGTAATTAACGTGACATCCTTATATGGTATTCAAGCAGGTTATGGTTGTGGTTATTATTGCTCATCAAAAGCAGCAAGAGAAATGTTTTTCAAAGTATGTAATATAAGATATTTTTTTTTAATATTAAAATATATTTCCATATACAGTGAAACTATATTTATATTTTTGTTACTAGTAATTCTTTTTTGTACAGGTTTTTGCCTTGGAAAATCCTGATGTCAATGTATTGTCTTATTCACCAGGACCTGTTGAAACAGATATGTTTTATACAGTATGTGAAAATCTAATCGATACCAGTGCTAAAAAGGAATTTAATGAATTACGAGTAACGAAAACTGTATTGACTCCAGAACAGACAGTTAATCGTCTTTTACAAATTTTACGGGAACATAAGTATAAATCGGCTGATCACGTGGATTATTATGACGAATTGTAAACACAATCAACATTTAATTTTTTAACAAGTGAATGTGTATATCTTTTCTTTAAATAAATATTTCCTTCATCATCAAAATTGCGATATAATTTATAATAAATCTGTAAGAAGTACAACCTATTATTTTTTAATATCTAATATCTGTAGTATATAACGTATATGAGTGAGAGAGAGAATTAAAAAAAAAAAATAGTATAGGCAACTTCTGGGCTTTACTTGTCTCTCAATTAGAATCACATTAAAGTTGCATTCCAAAACATCTTTTTCGAGGAAAATTTTACTTTTAAATCTATAGATCATGTTACATACACTATAGACTTAAGAGTAAAATTTTTCTCGGTAAGGACATTTTGGAATGCAACCTACATATCCAATAAAAGAATATGCTTCGTAGTGTCTTAACTAGTGATTTTTCTACTTTAAAAAAAAGAAATCCTTTTTGATATTAAAACACCAATACATAGGGTATTTTTTGTCAATGAAACCAAACCCAAAACTGTTTAATTAGCTATATATTATCTTAAGATGATATATAGTCAATGAAATACCTTGTTTTTGTTGGAGAGTATTTATTATCAGTCAATCCAGTGCTTGTCGTATGACAAATTAGATAGCACTTGAAGGAATGCGTTATATAGATGTTTTCAAACTACAGGCCTGTTCTTTTTCGCTGCACTGCTGAGCTGGTACAATAAGTTAAAGCAAGACACATATATGTTTTTTCACTTTTAGCGAATTCGGTAGCTTGCACTAGTGCGCACTGAGTGCGCATTAAGGCTTGTTTACAGTACATTCTTATATTTAAGATCGTGTCTTAAATACATATTTAAAAATATTTTAACTAATAAAATGATTCGTACGGATGTTATACATATCATATTATGGTTAAAAATATTTGAGAATTTATTTGAGAATTATTTAAGACAATTTTTAAATATAATAACATACTATGAACAAGCCTTAGTGCGCACTCAGTGCACACTAGTGCAAGCAACCGAATTCGCTATTTAACTTATTGCACTAGTGCAGCAGTTAGCGAAAAAGAACAGGCCTTATGCTTAATAAAGCCAGCAACACACGGTGCTTGTTTCGTGCTGGATTGCTTGTTGGATGGAAATATTCTGTTTTGATTGGTGTATTTCCATCCATCTTTAGAAATGCACCAATTAGCAAGCAATCCAGTATGAAACAAGCACCGTGTGCCGCGGGCTTAAGATTGGGCGTGTGTTGCGTCGAATTAGTCAGCTACTGTGTTCCTGCTTGTCAAGTGTAAATTTGTACGATATAGTCCCCAGCCATAACTAAAAAAGAAAAAGAAGAAATTTGTACGATATTTTTATTCTTTTAAATGATACAATAAAAAAAATGAAAGACTTATCCTACATTTTACTACTCGTAACGTGCCTTACGTGGCATGGTAAGTTAAATCACAACGTTATATTATGACATTTTATAACCTGTGTAATAATGTCAATTTCTACCAGCGTCGTTTGAAACTAAGGCTGCATTCCAAATCTATGATCCTTGCGTCTCCTTTTCGAGAAAAATTTTACTGAAAAAAAATCTATAATACACATTACATATAGACTTTTAAACTTTTAAGTTTTCCTCAAAAAGAATGTTTTGGAATGCAACCTAAATCTAAATTTAAGTCTTTAATAAAATTTAAATTTATTTAGTTTATTAAATTATTTATTAATTATTTATTTATTAATTATTTATTAATTATTTATTTATTAAATTTAATTAGTTGTAATAGAAACGAGCATGAGTCAATTTATCAATATTCAAGTATGGGGGAATTGATATATAATGATATTACACTTTAAAATTTTATTTCCACTTTATTAATTTATTATATTTTAAAACTACATTTCTGCTAATATTCTATATCTATTAGGTGGTAAACTTAGTTCCTGCGGTTTTTCCCATTTTCCCTCCTTTTGAATTTTTCCCATTGCATGTAGACGTTTGGAAACAACCATCGGAGTAACATTTAATGCTGCAGACAATTCTTGGAGCGTTTGAGTAGAGTTTTCGTCCAATAATGCCTGCAAATCGGTGCCTTCAAACTTTTTCGGTTGGCCTGAGCGTTCTTTATCATTGACATCAAAATCACCACTCTTAAATCGCTGAAACCATACTTGGCATGTTCTTTCCGATGGAGCATAATTGCCATAAGCTTCGAAAAGCAATTTATGAGCTGCAGCTGCAGTTTTTTTCAAGTCAAAGTAATGAAGCAGCACATGTCGAAAAAACAACTTATCACGTTCCATATTTAATCAAAAGAAAAAAT